GCAATTCCGTTTGACCATGCACGGGAAGGCAACAAAGAAAATAAAGACATCTCCCCTGAAGGTATTTTCATACCAGTTCGATAGAACAAAGAGGAAAAAAAAAAAAAAAGGAAACGGCACTGGACTCTAAACGAGAGCATTTCATAGGACAAAAAAAAAGAAAAAGTGCCGTGTTAAACATGCGCACATTGAATTATCCCACAGCGTTTTCTATTTCCGTTCCCTTTTGAGCAATCCGTCATCTCGCTTCAGGTTCGTGCACTACCAGGCGTGTCCCAGTTGGTGCCGCCTTGACAAAACAGATTTGTGTGAATTCCTCCCCAGCTCATGGGAACAGCGCGAAATGATTATTTTTTTCATACACAAGGTGTCATGGCTCGATTTCCTTGTCTTGGTGGGGCCCAGGCGTTGGTGGACGCACTACTGTTAAAGCGGCTGCCTTTTGTTCTAATCTTGAAAGGACGGGGCTTTCTCTTTCGCCTCCGAAGAGTAACAACCAGTAAAATGAGGGTCCTGGATGGAATTTTCCTTTTCATTTATTTGGCAAAAAGGAGAAGTGAATGGGCCTCTATTAGCCACTTTATTTCGATGTGCTAAAATGTTATGAACCCTTCATACGTTTTTAATTCTTTAATCTTTTCTTTTTTTTAATTTTTTAATTTTTTAACTTCTTAATTTTTTAATTTTTTAATTTTTTAATTCTTTAATTCTTTAATTACTTAATTTTTTTTTAATCAAGGCTCCCCTCCCCCTAGCAGCCAAGATGTGGCGGAATAAATCTAGCGAACTTGCTTCATTAAGGGGGGGCTCTTAATACGGCGACATACACACTTGTGCTTCTTTTTCCTTTGCACAGCCCTCAGAGTTGCATCGTAATTATTCAAAGGGAAAACGGGGTGGTCATCAAAAAAGGGTGTGCACGTGAGCAAGTGCGGAAGGGGCACAAAGGGGGACCATTAATATTTTCACAGAAGGTGCTGCTTAAAATGTTCAAATGGGTACACCTCAAAATGATCAGGGACGGTGAACCTCAGGCGCCTCGCAGGACTGCTACGACATCCAGCCCCACTTTTCGCCTTTAGGGGGGGGAGAAGCAGGCACTTCCGATTCATGGCCACGAGTGAAAAATATGCAAGCGTGTGTGGATGTAGTGCATGGGTGATCCCTCACCCTCCCCACTGCTCGTGCTGTACCTTCGCGTCAAACTTCATCAATTAAAGCCACGAAGGCCTGCTCACCCAGCTCGCAAGTCTTCATCAATCCGTACTCATCCGTCTGAATCTTCATATATCCTTTTTCTCCCCATTTCTCTCCCCAAGAATTCTTCATCAAAAAGTAGTAGCGCTTTTCATTCTTTCGGGTCATGGCATCATACATCTCTTCCATGCCGTAGCCGACAAGGATGACGGCATGGTTGGAAGAGAACCCACAGGAGCCATCAAAGAGGCCTCCCTCGTAGTAGACAAAATCGTCATTTGCAGAAATGCTCACACTGATGGGTCCTAAAAATCTTATTGCTTCCTTAAATCGAAGTTGAGGAATCTCTACGTAGGTTGTAATCTTATACTTATTCTTGCATCTGTCAGTGTCGCAAAGTTCTGGAGTTACATCCACATATGGGTAATCCTTTTCTTTGCAGATGCCTCCTAAATCAAGTAGATCCTCAAAGGCTATTGGGATGTTGCCTCCATCACACCCATAATTTTTGAAGGAGCAATCCACCATTTCTTGTTCACTTAGAGAGACTAACTCGTTTTTTCGAATTGCATACTGCGACTCTACAACTCCTACTGAGCTAAACGCCCAACAGGCACCACAATTCTGTTGGTTCTTCACAGGAGTTACCGCGTTTAACTCTCTCCAGTCATGTTTTACGTAATCGAAAGTTCCATCTTTCGGTTTGTACTTATGAATTATGTCATCGTAATTTCTAAATCGTGGTGATTTAGTACCATGTGAATTAAAGTCGAAGCTCTTCAGGGTCAAGAATTTCTTCTTAATTTCTTCAAAGGAGAGATCTCCAAACTGATTCATTCCTTTTCTGTAGAGCACATTCTCCCTACTGTTGTGTGACTTTATCTTTGCCATGTTATCCGCGAAGGATAGGTACCTCTGTTGCATTTCATCTACCGTCTTGTATTTCTTCCCGTGCTCCTTCACAAAGAGGTAGAACGAATTCACAGTCTCCAAGTTGGCCATCAAAGATGTGGTGTCAATGAGAGTGTTGACTAGGTTGGCCTCGCCTGACATGTCCACCTCAGCTGCATTCTTCCTATACGGACTAACAGTGCATCTATTTCCTGTGCATCTGTCTCTCTTTGCAAAGCGTTTATATGTGCCTCCATGCAGAGGGGGAAGATTATCCTCCTTCTTGTCATAGGTCGATATTAACTCCTGCACTTTGGATGCGATAAATTTTCTTCCATTTTGGCTCTTTAGCAGAAAATTCATTATGTAATCATCGTCTACTTTGTCCGCAATTTCGTACGTAAACCCTCCATCCCTTTTTGCGGGTTTCGTGAAGTAAAATGCGGAGTACACGAATATGCAAATGGCGGAGACGGACAGGAGGATGAGACAGTTTTTCTTTTTCTTCAAAATGGCCCTGTCAATATAGCCCTGCCCCACAAACGTCTGCTTTTCCCCGTTTATAGGATCCTGGGGGGTGTACTCGATGTGGTATTCCATTTTGGTGAAAGGACGAGATGGGAGAGAGGAGATGTTGTAAAAGCGGAAAGCACCGGGGGGTAACCCAAAGCGCAGCAGCTGTACTGTAAAAATATCCACAATACTGTCGCGTGCTTCTAAACAAGTAGAGCCCGATTTAGGCTCAGAACGAAGCGATAGTCACAACGGGAACAGAAAAAAAAGAAAAAAACAAGAGAAGCGAACGGAGTCAAAAAAGGGAAAACCATAAGGTATATACAATATAAGGTAAATCGCAACACCAGAAAAAAAGAAAAAAGAGGAAAAGGAAAAAGAAAAAAGAGCAAAGGAAAAAAAAGGCCCTCCTTAAACTGTTACAGGGAAGAAGTGCAACTTTGTTCTTTTTTTCTTTCTCAATACATTTATCTTGAATCAAAGAGGTGGAGGTTTTAAAATTTCTTTCATAAGAGAGGGGGAAACAAAAGAGGAGCGCAAGAAAAAGAAAAAAAGAAAAAGAAAATAAAATAAAAAATAAACAAACCTAGAGCGCTTCCTTTTCACACTGCATGCGATATATTTTCAAATGATTTTGTATATTCAGAGAACCTTGCGACGGGTTGGAGGGTGAAGGAATTTTCTCTCATTGATTTTTCTATCCCTACCTCTACAGGGAGGAAAGGGGTCCGGCCTTACGCGATTGTTGCTCTATCCTATGTTGACAATTTAAAAGGCACAACTAAGGGAACTATTTTTTTTATGCTAAAAATGAGAAAGAGGGGACATTTTAAGAATTCGATCACACAAAAATTCATTTGGCTGTGGAAAGGGGACAAAATCGTCGCTTGGATGGTTTGATTCCAACAGTTCTTCGCGGCAGGAGGACGAAGGTTAAAAAAAAGGAAGGCCTATGCATAGCACAGCACATAGTATCAATGCGTATATGTTTCTCCCTGCACCGCTTTGTGAAGCGCCAAAACTGTGCTCCCCCACGCAAGAACTTCACACAGTCCTATGTTGCGTGAATCCGAGGGTTAACCTTTCTTTCTTTTACGACGGCACCTTCATTTCCTCATTTTGCAGTGCATAGAAATTTCAAGTGCGAAAAAGAAAAAAGAAAACGAACAGTTAGAGTAATAAACCAACAACACTTCATAATACAATCCCACGATTACGCTGTATCCGTTATAGGATCATATCCCTTTCCTTTATGCGACGTGAAAAGAAAAAAAAAAAACGAAACATAATCTCTTGCACTGCCTCTCAAAATGGCATACGGGAAGAAGCGAGAGGGTCATAATTCACCACACAAGAATTTGGGACAATTGTCTTCTTTTCTTTTCCATCCTTGTTAATTCTAATTAAAGGACCTTGCAGAGTGGGGAACGTTTAAGCAACATTCTGCCGCCCCAGTGAGGAAATTCTCTCGGATTGACATTCTCATAATTGTACAGTTAGGGTGTCCTTCTTTTTACGGAAGAATGAAAAGAAAAAAAAAAAAAGAAAAGACTGACAAGCATATAATGCTTTTGCACTATGGGGTGTAGAATAATGTTACATATAAATTACACATGCCATCTTAAGGAGGACCTACTGATTAGTTGGCCTCTTTGTAAATGGAATATGACGCGGTGAGCGGAGAAAAAAAAAAAAATAATAAGGAGAGTAAAAGAGAAAGAGGAAGAAACACTAAAGGATGGAATAAGGCTGCGGAGAAGGCACAAAAACTCGGAGAGTGTTCAAAACGTGGGGACAGATCGCGGAAACGCGCTGGGGTTCCGCGCGCGCCGAAAAGGGCGCTCACGCAAGGGGTGACACCTCAGGAGGGGAGAATCTGTCTCACGAAAGTTCTATCAGCTGCGACGTGCTGCAAAGGAACTCCAATTCACGCAAGCCGTGCTGCGCGCACTTTTGTTTAAGAAGGTTTCCTGGGAGCGCCTATGAGCCACTGCGGCTACCATCCATCAAATGGGCATCGCAATCGCGAACAACGGCCAACCCGCGCAGTAGCAATCCTCCCCCACTGCTCTCCTTCCCGCTTTAGCCTCTAATCTATGAGCGCAACTAGGGCCTCCGTGCCGAGGGAACAGGGCTTTCTGTACCCATTCATATCCGTCTCCAAGCGAATGAATCCCTTCTCTCCCCACGAGTTTCCCCAGGAGTTTTTAATGATGTAGTAGTAGCGCTTCTTGGTCGTCTTCGTATCAAAGTCGTAAACATCTTCAGCTCCATAACCGACAAGGATGACAGCATGGTTGGGAGAATCACCACATTCTCCATCATATATACCTCCCCGGTAAAAGGCAAAGTCATCACTTATAGCTATGCTCACACTTAAAGGTCCAAGAAACCTAACGGCCTCTTTAAATTTGTCTTCAGGAATCTCCAAATAACTATTAATTTTGTATTTCTGCTCGCAAATATAAAATTTGCACATTTCTGGAATATCCGCCACGTATGGATAATCTTCACTTGAGCACATTCCTCCCATTTTGATCATGTCCTCAAAGGCAAGGGGGATGAAACCTCCATAGCACCCTGTGTTACGAGCGGAACAATCCACCATCTGTTGCTCGCTTATCGACACCAATTCATTCTTTCTAATTGCATACTGCGATTCGACCACTCCTACTGTGCTGAATGCCCAGCAGGATCCACAATTCCCTTGGTCCTTAACAGGGGTTACTCCTTTGTGTAGTCTCCAGTCATAGTTCGTACGGTCGAACGTAGCATCCTTCGGCTTGTATTTGTCAATCACGTCTGCGTAGTTGGTAATACCCTTCAGTTTGTCTCCATAAGTCTTGAAGTCAAAGCTTTTGAAGGTCAAAAATTTCCTCTTAAACTCTTCAAAGGAGAGATCTCCAAACTGATTCATTCCTTTTCTATAGAGCACATTCTCCCTACTGTTGTGTCTGTTTATCTTTGCCAAATTTTCTACAAAAGCGACGTATCTCTCCTGCATCTCCTCTGCCGTCTTGTACTTCTTCCCGTGATCCTTCACAAAGAGGTAGAACGCATTGACGTTCTCCAAGTTCGCCATCAAAAATCTGGAGTCAGCAAAGTTGATGTCGCTCCTCTTGGCAACTTTCAAATTTCCAGAGCGTTTCCTGTAGTGCTCTTCACCCTTTTCCGTTCTGTCTTGAGCGGTGGTCAACTGGTTGGATTGCTTCTCTTCCTGGAAGTCGCCTTCCTTGTCGTAGGACGCAATCAATTCGGCCAGCTTCGACACAATGAATTTCTTTCCACGTGGGCTTTTCAACAAAGTGGTGATAATGAAATCATCACTGCTGTTCTCGTCAAGTGCGTTCCCGTACAGGGGACCATCATTCCCCCTCCCCGTGGGGGTAAAGTAAAATGCAGATCCAGCTAGAAGGCATATTGCCGACACGGACAGAACCATCAGGAGTCTCTTCCTCCCCTTGTCATTTTTCCCGCCGAAAGACTTCTCTACAAAAAGTTCCTTCTCCGGTTTATGCGACTTGTCGTTCGAGTACTCCATGTGATATTCCATTTTATTTTCAGGAAGGGGATATGTGGGGCCCTGAAGTCGCAAATAAATGAAAGTTTAAGTGGAATGTAAATATATAGGTTTTTTATATGTACTCACATTATGTATATACATTAAGGCGATCCCAGGGAGCTCTCCACCTTACCCCCCTATGAGTTTAGAATTTTCCCCTTTTTTTCAGTGTTTAAAGCGAAGGACGCGCTTTCTCCAGCTTTTTTCTTTTTTTCTTTTTCATAAAAAATTTCTGAACAGCTAGCTATCTGAAGACTCATGGACACTTAGAAAATACAAAAGAAAAAAAGATCTTCCTCAAACAAGTTATTTAATTTGAGCTTAAAGTTGTAACTTGAACAACTTTCACCAAAAAAATAAAAAAAACAAAAAAAAAACAAGCTTGTTAAAAATTGTACTACTGTTTTAAATGTTATGACAATTTTTGGCTAACTTTCAAGCATATGTTCTGGGAAATAAAGAAGGGGGCGAAGGCCAGGGTAAGGATTTCCGTGCCCACCCTGGGAGTTGGCAAATGGGTGAGGAACGATATAAGAAGGTCGAGTGTACCGTTTGTGCTTTGGTGCAATTTCGCATCCGTACTTTGTAATTTGTTCTGTTGCGCGTTTCTGCGTGGTGTCGCCCGCTGGACACATGCGAGGAAAAAAAGAGGCCTGTGTTTTTTTACCAAAAAAATGCCTACTGGAAAAAAAAAAAAAAAGGGAGTTGCTGCAAAAATGATGCCTGTAACACAAGCTACTTGGGAGGCTGAGGCAAGAGAATCGCTTGAACCCGGGAGGTGGAGGTTGCAGTGAGCCGAGGTCACACCACTGCACTCCAGCCTGGTCGACAGAGTAAGATTCCGTTTAAAAAGAAGGTATACTGGAAAGGGGCAGCATGAGGGAGGCTGTGGTGGGAGATGGTTCTGTATTTCGACTGTGGTGTTACACATAATAAAGTGACAAGGAACTACATGCACACACTCACCAATGCCAGTCTCCTGGTTTTCATCCCGTGCTATAATCCTGTAAGATATCACCAT